CCGCCTCGGCCTCCCAAAGTGCTGGGATTACAGGCGTGAGCCACCGCGCCCGGCCTTGTTCTTTCATTTTTTAAAGATATTTTTCTATCTCTCATTTCTCAGGGATGAATTTTTTTTCAAAGTTTTGAAGTTACTTGGGACTTAGCCATGATATGAGTACTTATTCCTGGATAAAATTTAAAGAATTTTAAAAAAGTAATTACTACACATAAAATGATAAATAGGTAATTTTTTTTTTTTGAGACAGAGTTTCACTCTTGTTACCCAGGCTGGAGTGCCATGGCGTGATCTCGGCTCACCGCAACCTCCGCCTCCTGGGTTCAGGCAATTCTCCTGCCTCAGCCTCTTGAGTAGCTGGGATTACAGGCACGCACCACCATGCCCAGCTAATGTTTTGTATTTTTAGTAGAGACGGGGTTTCACCATGTTGACCAGGATGGTCTCGATCTCTTGACCTCATGATCCACCCGCCTTGGCCTCCCAAAGTGCTGGGTTTACAGGCTTGAGCCACCGTGCCCGGCCTAAATAGGTAATTTTATTTTGACCTCCTTGGTTAATTATTTTATCTGTATATTGTTTCAGTTATGAAGAATTCAAATTTATAGACACTATTGAGGAGTAATACTGTGATATCAAGGAGAATTCTGTTAGTCACATGATGATTGTTTTTGTTTTACATTTTTTTCATGCATTTATTATTTTACTAATTGGCCTAAATAATGAGACCAGACCAATATCTACATATTTTCATTGTTAGAAAAATCTACAAAAGTCTACCCTTTTTACAATAATGATGTAAAATAAAGCAGCAAGAGGGTTATTTAGGAGTGCAAGAGCACAATTAAATTGTACTACACAAGAAGACTGTTGTGAAGCATTTACCTCCCAGAAAATCATTACAGTTCCATTTCTTGGTGAAGTAGCACACTGTGGGTTGTGATTCTTAATTCTTCCTTGTGTTTGTCAATAGGATATTCATGCTAGATAGGTTGTCTTTTATTTATTTTTTTATGTCTCAAATCATCTTGTGGGGTTGTTTGCTCATCTCATAATACAGTTTTAAGCAGAAAGGCTGAAACAATGTAAATGTATTTTTGTGGAAATTATCAGTTACAATATTTTTAAAGAGCTGGAATGGACTTTTTGTAAATAGGAGAACATTTGTAAATAAGGTTTGAATTTCTAAGTCAAAAAAAGGACAAATACTAATGTATATATATGTGAGGTTTTTTTTTTTTTTTTTTTAAGAATTTTTGCTTTCATGTTTAGGACCATATCTTATGCTTTTTTGGGTTTTCTTTATTACCAGGCACTATGCTGGTTGTATTTTTCTTAAGAGCATGAGCTGTATTATACATTTCCTTGTGTTTCCTTCAAAATAATATCTTTTTATCCATAGGAGGGATGGAATACTTCTTGATTTCAATATTAGGTACTGAGTTAATTTTTGTTGTTTAGTTGATTGAACTTTATCTCCTGTCATTAGAATTGAGTGCAAGCAAACCTCACCTCTTTTTATCCTCCTTTGCCCTGCCAAAGACTTTTTGGTACGTTTTAACATCCCCGTATACATAGGGTTCGTTCGTTCTTTCTTTCTTTCTTCTCTCTTTTCTTTCTTTTCCCTTTCTTTTCTTTTCTTTTCTTTCTTTCTCTTTCTTTCTTTCTTTCTTTCTTTCTTTCTCTTTCTTTCTTTCTTTCTCTTTCTTTTTCTTTTTTTCTCTTTTCTCTCTTTCTCTTTCTTTTCTCTTCCTTCCTTCCTTCCTTCCTTCTTACTTTTTCTTTCTCCCTCTCTCTTTCTTTTTTTTACAGAGTCTCACTTTGTCATTCAGGCTGGAGTGCAGTGGTGTGATCTTGGCTCACTGCAACCTCCATCTCCCACGTTCAAGTGATTCTCCTGCCTCAGACTTCTGAGTAGCTGCAACTACAGGCATGCACCACCATGACTGGCTAATTTTTTTGTATTTTTATTAGAGATGGGATTTCACCATGTTGATCAGGCTGGTCTCAAACTCCTGACCTCAGGTAATCCACCTGCCTCGGCCTCCCAAAGTGCTGGGGATTACAGATGTGAACCACTATGCTTGGCCTCATAGGGTTGTTTCTTGAATTAATGATCAGAATTATGTTCTTGTTCATAAAAGCTGCATGGTTACTTTTCTTCTCCAGGGATTATTTTTGTGAAAGTTGATTATACATATTGAATCATTCTTGTCATACCCAACTAAATCAGAGTTGAGAAGCTAGGGGGAACAAGCTCTCAGAGCACATACCACATGCTCCAATAATTAACATTTTCACAAGCACAGCTACTGAAATGACCCAATGTAACCCTGAGACCAGTTTGACCTTGTAGTTGCTGAAATGACTTGCCATGACTCTTAGGACTAGTTTTACATACCATGGTCACTCACTAATCAGAGTCTGCCAACTCCCAAAACTTTCTCTAGTGCCAGTGAGCTTGCTTTCAAAACAACATATACTATTTCTCTTTTTAATACAACTCCCAGTCATCTCTTTGTTCTTCACACATGTCCAAGACCACCCAGTCTGTGTGTATGCCCTGAAATACAATTCTTGCTTCCCAAGTAAAACATTTTAAATTTAGAGATCCATCTCTATATATTTCTTGACTTCAACATTTTATATTTAGTCTTAGTTTTTTTTTAAATCTGTTAACCGTTATCAACTTGTGATAGGTCATAAGCCGGCAGAATCTATGACTATGTCATCCAGCTGGAATTTTAGCAAGCTTATTCAGAGAAAAGGCCATATTTGGTTAACATAATAGCTGATATTTATGAAATACTTTACACTTTTAAATGTTTTTATTATATATTATTTCATTTGTTTATGTTTTTGTTAGCCAAGCCAACTTGACCCTCTAACCCTATTAGCAAGATATTAATTAGCATCTTACTTATTTTTCTGGTTTGGGAGAAATATATGAGAAAAATTCTCAGAAAAGAAAAAAAAAAGAGAAAAATTCTCCTTTACAGGTGGGCTTAGGAGAAGGAGATGAGAAAAATCCTCTTTTGTATATGTGGGGAGATTAGTTCTCATATCAGGTAATATCTGACTAGGACTTAAAATTTTTTTTTCTAGATACAGGGTTTTGCTGTGTCACTGAGGCCATAGTACAGGATCATAGCCTACTGTAGCCTCAAACTGCTAGGCCCAAGCGATCCTGCCACCTCAGCTTCCTGAATAGCAAGGACTACAGGTGTGCGTCACCATAGCCAGTCAATTTTTTAAATTTTTTATTTTATAGAGACAGGGATCTCGTTATGTTGCCAAGGCTGGCCTGGAACTCCTGGCTTTATTCAGTCTTCCTGCCTCAGCCTCACAAAGTGTTGGGATTACAGGCATGAGCCACCATACTTGGCCAGGACTTTAAAATTTGTAAATGCATTTTTTTATTGTGAGATATATCAGACATGAGCTAGAATGCATGAAACTTGTGTGTCCTATTTAAAAATGATTATAAACAAACACTAGTGACAAGAATTGGAACATTACCTGTCCCTCCAGACATATACCTACTGAGGTTCTTCCTAATCACAGCTCTCCCCTTCACCTCTAGAGATAATCAGTATCCAGATTTTTGTGATAAGGTGTTTTTTTGCTCTTATGTACAGTTTACCAGAAATGTATGTATGTGCCGGGCGCGGTGGCTCAAGCCTGTAATCCCAGCACTTTGGGAGGCTGAGATGGGTGGATCACGAGGTCAAGAGATCGAGACCATCCTGGTCAACACGGTGAAACCCCATCTCTAGTAAAAATACAAACATTAGCTGGGCATGGTGGCGCGTGCCTGTAATCCCAGCTACTCAGGAGGCTGAGGCAGGAGAATTGCCTGAACCCAGGAGGCGGAGGTTGCGGTGAGCCGAGATCACGCCATTGCACTCCAGCCTGGGTAACAAGAGGGAAACTCCGTCTCAAAAAAAAAAAAGAAATGTATGCATGTTTAAACAATTTAGTTGTGCTTGTTTTTGAACCTGATATAAATGAAATAATACTATATGTATTTTTGTATTTATTGTTTTGTGAGTTGCTTTTATCCTTCAACATTATTTGTAAGATGTACCCATGTTGTATAGAGCACAAGCTCATTTCATTTTCATTGATGTCTGGTATTCTGTAGTATGAATACACTAAAATTTATTTACCTATTTTTGCTGCTATAAGCATTTTTGTACATGTTTTCTGGTGCACAAATGCACAAACTTATCTAGTGTATTTATCCAATGTCAGAATTGTCATAGGATTTTTACTCCCCCTAAATTAATGCCAAACTCTTTTCCAACTGGTTGTGTCAGTGGTGTATAAAAGGTCCTGTTGCTTTTTGTTACTGTTAATATTTGCTATTATCAGACTTCTAAAATTTTTGCCATGGATGTGTAATTATTTTTTTATTGTGGTTTTAATTTTTCATTTTCTTTATTACTAATAAAGTCTGGCATATTTTCATATGTTTATGGCCATTTGGATTTCCTCTTTTGTTAAGTATTTTTTTGCCTGTTTTTCTGTTGAGCTTTTTATTGCTTTACAATTTTTTAAAAATATGGTTTGGATCCTTTGCCAGTTATATGTGTTACAGACATCTCCTATTTTGTGGTACGTCTTTTTACTTTCGTTATGGTATCTTGACACAGACTTAATTTTTTCATTTTGATGTGGTTGATTTTTTTCCTTATTTCTTTTTTTTTGTTGTTTGTTTGTTTTTTTGAGATGAAGTCTTATTTTGTTGCCCAGGCTGGAGTTCAGTGGCACGATCTTGGCTCTCTGCAACCTCCACCTCCCAGGTTCAAGCGATTCTCCTGCTTCAGCCTCCCAAGTAGCTGGGACTACAGGTGCTTGCCACCTCGCCTGGCTAATTTTTGTATTTTTAGTGGAGATAAGGTTTCACTATATTGGCCAGGCTGGTCTTGAACTCCTGACCTTGTGATCTGCCTGCCTTGGCCTGATGTTGGGATTACAGGCGTGAGCCACCGCATCTGGCAGATTTTTTTCATTATTTCTTTTAGAACTTTTTGTGTTTTGTTTAGGAAAATTTTCCCTAACCAAAAGTTGAAGACATTCTTCTGTAGAATGTAAAAAAGGTTTATAGTTTTTGCCTTTCACATTTATGTCTTTAAACCACTTGGAACTGATTTTTTTCTTTGAGACAGAGTCTTGTTCTTTTGTCTAGGCTGAAGTGCAGTGATGCAATCATGGCTCACTGCAGCCTCGACCTCCTGAGCTCAAGTAATCCTCCTGGCTAAGACTCTCAAGTAGCTGGGACCACAAGTGTGTGTCACCGTGCCCAGCTGATTTTATTTTATTTTATTTTATTTTATTTTATTTGTAGAGATGGAGTCTCACCATGTTGCCCAGTCTGGTCTTGAACTCCTGGGCCCAAGCAGTTCTCCTGCCTCGGCCTCCCAAAGTGTTAGAATTACAATCATAATCCACTGCACCTGGCCTGGAACTAATTACATGGAGTCTCGGCTCACTGCATCCTCCGCCTCCTGGGTTCAAGTGATTCTCCTGCCTCAGCCTCCTGAATAGCTGGGATTACAGGTGCCTGCCACCATGCCCATATAATTTTTGTATTTTTAGTAGAGATGGGGTTTTGCCATGTTGGCCAAGCTGGTTTTGAACTCCTGACCTCAGGTGATCCAACCACCTTGGCCTCCCAAATGCTGGGATTACAGGTGTGAGCCATGTGCCCCGCCTCTAACTGATTTTTTGAGTGTAGTATGAGATACAAAGTAGGGGCCTACCTTCATTTTTTTTCTGTATGGATATCTAATTGTTCTAGCTTTATATTTTGAAAAGACTATCCCTTTTCTACTGATTAAAAAAGCCACTTTTATCATACATCAGATATCTATATATATATCGCTGGGTTTAATTTGGGCGATTTTCATTCTGTTCACCTATTTGTCCATCTCTGTGCTAGTAGCACAGTATCTGCACTCTAGGTCTATGTTAGTCTTAAGATGAGGTGGGGCAAGTTTTCCTTCTTTTTTTTTTAAGATTGTCTTGGTTTCTTATCTTATTATTTTGTATTTCTTTTTTTTTTCCTGAAGAGTTGGGTTTATTTCAATGGTAAATTTGAAACCCTTGCCTTAAGCAAAAGTACTATAGTAATTATGTCAGGAATAGACAATTTCCTACACTGTCAAATGTATAAAAGCTCCTTTTGTACTTTCTTCAACACTGATCAACAAGCAGAGTCAGTCCACATTTGCTTTGATCTAGCTACTGAGTTAACCTGAATTGCTTCTTCAGAGATTCTGGCATCTTGGGTGGGGGAGGGCAAGGGAGCCTGAAGCAGGCCTTCACAGAATCATACATAAACTACTATAGTGCAGTCAGAGTACCAGTCATAACGATACAAGCAAACAGTCCCTTCCATACACCTTTAAAGCCAAGTGTCTGGAGGACCCGAGAAGCACTGCTACCTGTTTCTTTATTCAACACAGATACCACAGAATCAGCAGGGTGAGAAACAATTGCAGAAAACACTCCAGGTATATAACCTGCTATAACTGTTACAACCAGCTCCTCTGCCTTTGAACATTCACTGTGGGGGCTTAGGAACCACAAACTTGTATGATGCTTCAACAGTACCTTCAAAGCAGACAGACTTCATCATGGTATATACTTCCTCATCCGGAGAGGAGTAATCCCTTTGTAGCATGTTGTTAGGCCTTCTTCCTTATACATTTTGGGAGCTGCATCCCTCAAAGTGTTGGTGTAACCTGGTTGGGTTTGAATTTGAACCTTAGCAGCTTCCATAAGGCAATTACAGCAAAGAATTTAGCACTGGCAGAGGTAGCCAAATATAGTGATATGCGCCAGAGATAACATGTTCTGGGAGCATATTGCTATACAAGACTTTAAAGACTTCATAAAAGCCAAACTTGCAGAGTCCAGCATGGAGTGACCAATGAAAGTCAGAGTCCAACCTTTAGCCAAACAGTGAACACCATCGTCCTTAGTGCAACTGAGAATCCATTTAATATGCCCTTGTACTTTTGGGGGTCTACCTGCATATGGCATTTCTCTAAACCCCAGGAGAATGACGGCCGTGTGTGTCAGACTACAACCTAAGACCTCACCAGAGCCACACGGTGCATAATACTTTGTGGAGCCATATTCACAACTATACTTTTCCAAGGCAGCAGCTGCCAGGTTAAGAGAGCAGTGGGGCAGGCCTATGGGTCTTGTGGTGCTGCTATGGAGGTCCGTGAGGCCATCGTCCACCAACTGCAGGTGTGGTGCATTGAAGGAGTTAACCCATGCCAGGTGTGCCATGGATGAGAACTTCTCCCTAAGATGGTGAACACCAAGCCACTCCCTTGGAAAGTTTGTGGCTCACAGGGTGATATTTTGTATTTCTGCATTGGATTTAGAATCAGCTTGTCAAGTTCCACAGGAAAATACGTTGAGATTTAATTGAGATTGCATTTAATCTATAGGCCAATTTAGGCAGAATTGACATTTTTATAGTATTGCATCTTACAATCTATGAGCATATGACATATTTCTTCACTTTAAATCTTCTTTAGGAGTCCCTCAATAAATGTTTTATAATTTTCTTCATAGAAGGACCAAAATTTTTAGATAAGTGGAAATGGGGATGCCAAGAGGAGGATAAAAAGGAGACAATTTTCACCCAGTGTAGCCAGAAATTCAAAGGCGACATATATAGTTCATTCAGACATTTTTCAGTATTACTGACTTTTTACTCTGACTTTTTATTATTTGTTTACTTTTTATTACTTGTATATGTTTGCATTGTCTTTAAGTCCTCAGCCAAATCCCTAAACACTTAGCAGATTACCTTATTTCTTATTTTAGAAGATGTTGCCTGAGCAGCTAAAGCATTCTTAATTGTCTCCTTGTGGTGCATCTCCACTGCAAAATTTCTCCCATCTTTGTACTCTTTTTTTTTTTTTCACACTATTCCTGATATAGGAGTGTCCCGATGAGTAAGAAGGTCCAGTGCTAATCTATCCATGAGTACTCTGATTCCAGGACAGTTGGGATAACTGTGGTTATAGTGGTTACAGATTCCTTCCTATCTGTAGTCTTCCTTTGCATTTCCCACAATCAGCTAATGGCAGAGGCCCCAGAAAAATGATGCCCAGTTTTATAGTAGAAACATAACATGTAAGAATTATTACATTGTTAACATTCTTCTACCTACATCACCTATGAAATGAGGATTTTGTTACTTTTACAGATAAGAGCACTTTTTTGTCTGAGCTTCTGTGACCTGCTCCTGGGACTTTGCTGGCTCACAGAGACACTTCTCTATGGAGCTTCAGTAGCAAATAAGGACATCATCTGCTATAACCTACAAGCAGTTGGACAGGTAAGTGCTACTAGACTGTCACTGCACCTTGCAAGAAAGGCACACTCAGATCTAAATAGACACAAAGATGATTCAGCTTGGGAAGTGGAGACCCATTTGTTTATTGTTATGTTTTGAAACAATAGCTTTTGTCTTTTTTCAAGATTAAAAAATGCTATTTATTATAGAAATTTTTGAAAATTCAGAGAAGCAGAAAGATATTATCATTCTTTAATATTTTGTTCAAATTATATATCCTTCCAATGTTTTCATAATGAATATATATCTTTTTAAAGCAAATCAAATAATACATTAATATATATATATATATATTTTTTTTGAGACAGTCTTGCTCTGTTGCCAGGCTGGAGTGCAATGGTGCCATCTTGGCTCACTGCAGCCTCCACCTCTGGGATTCAAGTGATTCTCCTGCCTCAGCCTCCTGAGTAGCTGGGACTACAGGTGCACACTTGCCACCATGCCCAGCTAATTTTTGTATTTTTAGTAGAGATGAGGTTTTACCATGTTGGACAGGATGGTCTCTATCTCTTGACCTTGTGATCTGCCTGTTTCAGCCTTCCAAAATGCTGTGATTACAGGCATAAGCCACCTCTCCTGGCCAATGAATACTTTTTATAACCTGCTTTTGTTATTCAGCATATTGTGATTATGTTTCCAGGTAATGAAATACTTTTCCATAATATCATTTGAAATGATTGCATGGTTTTGTGTTACAGGAATAAAATAAACATTGGATTTTGAAAATACTGCAGATAATCACATATGAGTTGTTTATCTTTCATGAATTTTACCAATGGATTAATCCACATAGTACCATCAGTATATAACACTCCTGTGTTTCTGAGACATGTAGTATGAAAAAAGTAAAGGTTAAAATGCAGTCTGTTCTCACTGCTAGATATTTCCTTTATTAGAGGGGAAATTTCTTTCAATTTAATAAGAAATTAATAATATGTAATTGGTGGCATAAAATCTGTGCACTAATATGTTACCTATATCATATGAGTTTAAAATGTTTTAGAGTCATACTTTGCTCAGTCCTGCTAACAATCTCATGAATTAAATAGAGTTAAGGCTGTATTGTTTACTCAGATAATTATAGTCTTTGATCAGAAAAGTCTGTATTAGAATCCTGGACCTGATTAACTTTGTAATGTTTGACCAGCACCTAATCTTTCTGAACCTCAGTCTCCTAATCTGTAAAATGGCCATTAATAATATTTACTTTGTGCTTGGTACAGATGTGGTTAATGTTACTTTGTTTTTTTACAACTTTATTGAGTTATATCTGTAGTAAACTATACATATTTATGGTGTACAATCAGTTTTTACATATGTATTTTCCTGTGAAATCATCACCACAATCAAGATAACAAACATTCCTGTTTCCATCACCCTCCAAATCATTTCAGATATATTTTCCTTAATGTCGTTGAGCTATGTATTATAACAGCTGCTTTTAAAAATAGTTGTTGGATATTTCCAATGTCTGGCTCATTCCTAGGCTGGTGTCTGTCTGCTGATTATCTTTTCCCATGAGAATGGGTCACATTTTCCTGTTCTTTGTATGTCAGGTAATTTAGGATTGCATCTTAGATATCATGAATACTATGTTGCGTAGACTCTGGGTTCTTTTATAATTCTCTAGAGATTGTTAATACTTTTATTTAGCAGACAATCAACCTGATTACATTTGGAATGTAAATGTGGTCTCATCATCTGTGGACAATGGTTCAAATCTCAGTTTAGTTCTATAAGCCTTGGTTATGCTGGTTTGAGACTGTCATGCACATGCATAGTAGACAGGTTAGGCTGAGACTTGTTTGGATTAATACTGAGAATTAAAGCATCCCTTTTCCTGGCTGTCTTTCTTCTGGGATTCCCTCCATACTTTCCTCTCTAAAGGGGGTCCTTTTCCGGTCTCTGTTGCCCAAGATAGATTTCTTTTAGAATTGTAGTTACCTTCATTGAGCAGCAGCATGACTGAGGTACATGCTTGAGCAAAAATAAGAGAAAAGGGAGGGAAAAGTTTGAAAAACTCACTTCTTCTGTTCAGTTTACTTCTCCAAGTTTGACTTCTTTCCACAATCTACCTGTTTCTGTTTACTTTTCAGAGTCTTCAAGTGTTTGTTTTTTATATTTTTCCTAGGATTCCTTACTTGTAATCAGGGATGAACTGGAGAGGGCTTAAACATATTTATTTTGTTTGTTTTATTTTTTAAGATTGTGGTAAAATATACATAACATAAAATTTATCATTTAAAAATTTTAAGTATGGTAAAAATGTAACAAAATTTATAATCTTACTTTAAGTATACACTTCAGTGACATTAAACATTCACCTTGTTTTCCAACTGTAACTACAGTCCATCTCCAGAGCTTTTTCATCTCGAACTGAAACTGTGTACCATTAAACAATAACTCCCCATTTCTCCTTAGTACCAGATCCTGGTAACCACTCTTCTACTTTTCTATGAATTCGACTATTCTAGGTACCTCATATCAGTGAAATCATATAATATTTGTCCTTTTGTGTCTGACTTATTTCACTTATATGTCTTCAAAGTTATCTTGTTGTAGCATGTGTCAGAATTTCTTTCCTTTTTAAGGCTGAGTAATATTCCATTGTATGGATAGACCACATTTGGTTTATCCGTTTATCTTTCAGTGGACACTTGGGTTGCTTCCACCTTTTGGATGTTTGTGAATAATGCTGCTATGAACATTGATGTATAAATACATCTGAGTCCCTACTTTCTCAGTTCTTTTGTGCATATACTCAGGAGTAGAATTACTGGATCAGGTGGAAATTCTGTGTTTGATTTTTTGAGGAAACACCATTTTTCCATAACAGTAGTGCAGAGAGCTACAGTTTCCACATCCATGCCGACATTTGTTGCTATATTTTTTTAAGTAATAGCCATCATTTTTTTTTTTTTTTTTGAGACGGAGTTTCGCTCTTGTTACCCAGGCTGGAGTGGTGCAATGGCGCGATCTTGGCTCACCGCAACCTCCGCCTCCTGGGTTCAGGCAATTCTCCTGCCTCAGCCTTCTGAGTAGCTGGCATTACAGGCATGCGCCACCATGCCCAGCTAATTTTTTGTAGTTTTAGTAGAGACGGGGTTTCACCGTGTTGACTAGGATGGTCTCGATCTTTTGACCTCATGATCCACCCGCCTCGTCCTCCCAAAGTGCTGGGATTACAGGCGTGAGCCACCGTGCCCGGCAGTAATAGCCATCTTAATGGGTGTAAAGTGGTTTCTTGTTGTGGTTTTGATTTGCATTTCTCTAATCATTAGTAATATTGGGTACCTTTTCATGCGCTTATTGACCATTTTTATATCTTCTTTGAAGAAATGTCTCTTCAAGTCCTTTCCCTCTTTTTTATTTTTTTTGAGAGGGGACAAAGTCTCACTTTCTCATCCAGGCTGGAGTGCAGTGGCACTATCTTGGCTCACTGCAGCTTCTGCCTCCCAGGTTCAAGTGATTCTCCTGGTTCAGACTCCCAAGTAGCTGGGATTACAGGCATGTGCCACGACACCTGGCTAATTGTTCTATTTTTAATAGAGACAAGGTTTCACGATGTTGACTAGGCTGGTCTCCAACTCCTGACTTCAAGCAATCCACCCACCTTGGCCTCCCAAAATGCTGGGATTACAGGTGTGAGCCACCATGCCCAGCCCACCCCCCATTCTTTAATCAGATTATTTACTTTTTTGTTATTGAGCTATAAGAGTTCTTTGTAAAGTCTTTACATTAACCCCATATCAGACATACAATTTGCAAATATTGTCTCCCAGTCTGTAGGCTGCCTTTTCACTCTGTTACTTGTGTCCTTTGATGCACAGAAGTTTTATAAATTCTGATGCAGTTCATGTTTTCTTTTGTTGCCTGTGTCTTTGATGTCTTACTCAAGAAATCATTGCCAAATACAATATCATGAAGCTTTTACACTATATTTCCTTTTAAGAGTTTTATACTTTTAGTCTTACATTTAAGTCTTTGATCTATTTGAAGATTTTTGTATGTGGTATAAAGTAAGGGCCCAACTTTATTTTTGTGCCTGTGGAATATTCAGTTTTCCTGGTAGCGTTTATTTATTTGAGACAGTCTTGCTCTGTTACCCAGGCTGGAATGCAGTGACATGATCATGGCTAATGTGGTCACAGTGGCTTCGACCTTCCGGGCTCAACTGATCCTCCCACCTTAGCCTCCCAAGTAGCTGGGACTACAGGTGCATGCCATCATACCTGGCTAATTTTTGCATTTTTGGTAGAGATAGGGCCTCCCTATGTTGTTCACACTCGTCTTGAACTCCTGGGCTCAAACAGTCTTCCCACCTTGGCCTTCCACAGTGCTGGGATTACGGGCATGAGCCCCACCATGCCTGGCCCCATTTGCTGAAAAGAATGTTCTTTCCCTTCCCCATTGAATGATCTTGGCACCCTTGTCAAAATCATTTGATTACATATGTAGGATTTATTTCTGGGCTTTTAATTCCTATCCATTAGGTCTTTATGAAACTAGAAAGTGTGAGTCCTCCAACTTTTTGTTCATTTTTCTTTATGAGACAGGCTGGAATGCAGTGGCATGATCTTGGCTCACTGCAGCCTTGACCCTCTGGGCTCAAGTGAGCCTCCTGCCTCAGCCTCCTGAGTAGCTAGGACTACAGGTGCATGCCACCACACCTCGCTAATTTTTATTTTTTTGTAGAGATAGGATCTTCCAGTGTTGCTCAGGCTGGTCTCAAACCTCTGGGCTTAAGCCATCCTCCTACTGCAACCTCCCAAAGTGCTAGGAATACAGGCATGAGCCATCATGCCTGGCCTGTTCTTTTTCCAAGATTGTTTTAGCTATTCGGGGTCCCTTGAGATTCCATATGAATTTTAGTATTGTTTTTTTTATTTCTGCCAAAAAAAAAGTGTTGGGATTTTAATAGGGATTGCATTGAATCTGTAGGTCATTTAGGGTAGTATTAAACATTTTAACAACAGTGTTTC